ATATTTAATTCCATTTTTCTTTTTTTCTTTTCTTTTTTTAATTTTTTCTTCTGTATTTTATTTTATTGTGTTTTTTTTTATTGCTTTTGAAATGATAAAGTGAAGGTTGAAGCCCTTTTATAGTGTCATTAACATGAATTAAGACCATTAAATTTGTGTGAGTATGAATAGGAATTTAGTGGTTCATTTTATGTTTGATATTATTAGCCTTGTGACTTATTCTTATTAATTATATTATGCATAACCAATTAATCTCTTAAATTAGATGGTAAACATGAGTTAATCTTTTATGGAGTAGCTTCTCTATTGGGAAGGAGGAAAAGATTAGGATAATTAATATGCGAATACAAATAATTAATTTATTAGGTTGTGTTGAAAATTTTAATTCCTTTTTGCCAAAGAACCAAGTTAGGAAGGGTATCTTTTGTAGTTATAAAATGTAATCCTAGTCATTAATTGATTGTCATAATTTATCTAGCATTTTGGGACAAGATTTTTTTTTTTTAAAATATGGATTTAAGTTTCTCTGCCAAAGGATGTAGTGCAATAAATGTGTTGTCCTTTTGTTATTAGAGGTTTCGAATTCAAGTCTTGGGTAGAGAAAATTCTTGGTAGAAAACACTTCCCCTCGAATGAGGCCCTATGCGTCATGAATCATAATTAATTGAGCTTCAATGCGGATATCTGACACGGTGCCACCGAATGAAAAATCAAAAAATATCTCAATGCCCTCTTAATTTTAAGTAAATTTTATATACTAATGTTTAAAGTTTACGACAAATTGACCGCTAATATAATATGTGACCTTCCACCTTCCATTTTCTAGATTGTACCTTATTATTAGGGTCGTTTTATGAGACAGGAGGAGATATTTTAAGACTAAAATAAATTCTTTAATCAAATAAAGTATATCAAATTTAATTTCAAATATTATATCATATTTAAGATCCAAATTTCAAAAAAAAAATAAAAATTTATTAAACTTGTACAAAGTTAAACAGAAACAAAACGAAATGGGCGACAGATTATTATTTATTTATAAATTTTTCACTTTTATTTTTATTTGCTATTCTGATAAGTGAAAACGTGAGTTAAACTAATAAGTTTTGATGGAGAAACATGATCAAGATTCATAATGTCAAACCAATTTTGGTTAGGACTAATATGTAATTACTATTGTTTATCACTTTCTATGTCCCAATTTATGTGATATATAGATTAACTTGACATGAAATTTTTTTTAAAAAAAAATAAAAGTTGTGATCTAAAATAAATCATAGATATTAGTGCAGCTCTAAATCATTTCATTAAGGTAAACTTGACATTTTAAAATTAAATTGTTACTAAATATAGAAACTTGTCATTCCTTTTTCGGAAAAGGATCAGAACTACCCTTAAACTATATTTCAGCTCAAAAATACCCTTCCCGTCAAACTATTGGGTCACACCTACTAGTTAACTGAAGTATCCATGTGTGTGTTAAATGCCACATGGATGCCACATGTGCACGCCAATCAGACCCCACCTCCACATAGACGACTACGGAAAAGGGTCAAGACTACCCTTAAACTATTCGAAATAGCTTAAACATACCCTTAAACTATATTTCGGCTCAAAAATGCCCTTCCCATCTAATTATTGGACCACACTTCCCCTTCTGTTTAACAAAAATATCCATGTGTGTGCTAAAATGCTACATGGACTCCACATGTGCACACTAAACACACCCACCTCCACATGGATACTTCCGTTAACTAGAAGGATAGGTGTGACCCAATAGTTTGACGGGAAGGATATTTTTGAGCCGAAATATAGTTTAAGGGTATATTTAAGCTATTTCAGATAGTTTAAGGATAGTTCTAATCCTTTTCCGTTCATTTTTTAAGAGACTAGAAAGAAAAATAAGTTACTAAATACTTGACAACATTAAAAGAAATTTTCAAGTTGATCACCTAATTCTAAAAAATTACTTACAAATCATCAAAGGCTACATTTGTAGCATTATATGTTGAAAAGAAGTGTGGTTGTAAAGAGCCTTAGTCCAAAGTAAGCCCCACTAGAATATGACATGGAGATTGCAAATGGAAACTAGAACAAACAACAAAATTTTGAATGTCCAGTTGGCACCAATCAAAGCCTCAACAACCTTATCCCACATCATAAATCTAATCTTCCCCCACATCCAAAAACTAAGCCAATTTCCCTTCACACATCACAAAATTATCTAAAACATATTGCCCCTCCCCTCCAACATCACCATTCTAACAAAGAATTGGAATCCAATTCCAAAACCAACAAAAGAGAGTAATTGTTGTTTTGAGTGTAAGTGAGCAATGGCTGCTTCCACACAATGTTTCTTGCACCAATATCATGCACTAAGATCTAGCCCTGCTAGAACATCATCTGTTTCATCCCCTAAGCCTAACCAATTGATTTGCCGTGCACAAAAGCAAGATGATGCCAACAACACTAGCAACGCCGTCTCTCGCCGATTGGCTCTTACTCTCCTCATTGGTACTGCTGCCATTGGTTCCAAAGTTTCCCCTGCAGATGCTGCCTATGGAGAAGCTGGTACTTTTCTCCAATATATAAATACATAGCATACTAGTTTAACTAATGATAAACGGTCTCAAAGAATTTTTACACTATCAGATCGAAGCACTTGAAAGGCAAACCATGTATATAACTTGTTATAACTAAGTTTAATGTGCCTATATAATACAACTATCCAGCCCCCTGACCTTTGTTGCTCGGATCCTCCAAAAATGTTGCCACGTCTATATCACTTTCTTTTTGTTGGAGGATCCGAGCAACATTTAATGTGAACATGATCTTAATGATGGTGTTTGTGATATATGCAGCAAATGTTTTTGGTAAGCCAAAGGAGAACACTGATTTCTTGCCATACAATGGAGATGGATTCAAGCTCCAAATCCCAGCCAAATGGAACCCAAGCAAAGAAATTGAGTTCCCTGGTCAGGTTCTCAGATATGAAGACAACTTTGATTCCACCAGTAATCTGATGGTTGCAGTCACTCCAACTGACAAGAAGTCCATCACCGACTACGGCTCCCCTGAAGAATTCCTCTCTAAAGTAATAATACTAAAAGCATGCATTTTATAGTTCAGCACAAGTAGTTAGCTCACAATTGAGTTTTCTTTTGTTTTTGAACAGGTGGACTATCTGCTAGGAAAACAAGCTTACTTTGGTAAAACTGATTCAGAGGTAAGTAATCATAACTACTAGCTGCTTTTCATATGAGATGAGTAAAGGTCACTAGCATTAAAGCACTCTGCACTTCTATAGAATGGTAGCTTCGAGTATGAACAAATGAGTCTAGAATTCAGTCAGTATGTAAGCTACCCTGTAAGTTAGTCCTCAAGTGGAAGAATCACTCAGTAAGATTATAATAAGTAATGGCTTTTGATCATACACCAGCTATGCAAGTAGTAAAATGTAGCTGGCAGCTTTTTCCTATAAATCAAATGAGGGAATGAATGAAGTACAAAACCATGTGTCAGTCCCAAGGAAGTTGGAGTCGGCTATATGGGTCCTCGTAGTCTATGTTGCTCTGCCCTGCAATTGTTTACATTTTGTTGGTAAAAAGCACTAACTGAACTAATGTATGGAAGAATTATGACACAAAAAATGAAGTGGGAATTTGTTTGTGCAGGGTGGATTTGAATCTGGTGCAGTGGCAACTGCTAACCTCTTGGAGGCATCAAGCGCAACAGTGGGAGGAAAACAGTACTACTACTTGTCAGTATTGACAAGAACTGCAGATGGAGATGAAGGTGGGAAGCACCAGTTGATCACAGCCACAGTGAATGATGGCAAACTTTACATTTGCAAGGCACAAGCTGGTGACAAGAGATGGTTTAAGGGTGCTAAAAAGTTTGTGGAGAATGCTGCCACTTCTTTCAGTATTGCTTAAGAATGGGAAAACTAAAGAAAACCATTATTTAAGTTTGTATGTACTTAGTTCCTCCCCCCTCTACAAAACATATGGTGCTGAGATGAGTTGCTTAATTGGACTTCTTTTTTGCTCTTTCCAACCAATCCCAAAAAAGTTTTTAAACATGTTTCAAATACTGTTGGAGGAAGCTTAATGTTAATAATTTCATATTTTCTTCGCATATATTTAACACCCTTTACCGCCTCCCCCCCCCCCCCCCCCCCCCACACACACACACTCTTCAGAATCCCAACATAGACAGATAACAAACTCAACATCTGTTGATGGACTACTCTCTGTATTAAAAAGTCTAGAACCACCGAGTGATGTCATAGAATGGATCCCTTCACTCTTTAATCAGAGATCTTGAATTCAAATCCTAGTAACATAGAAATTCCCAATAAGAAGGGCATCACCCTTAGATAGGCCTTACGCGGTACAAGTTTAGAGTAGTCAAGGCAAGTAAATTTCGGGTACCAAATAGTTGAATGAAAAAAAGATCATTTCAAGAAGAGAAGTTTTTTAACCTAACAACTCAACTCACAAGGCTTTAGTGATAGATGTTGATCTTGTGGAAATGGGATCATCTCAAAAAGGAAAACTAGAAGCTATATAATTGCTTATTGGATATAAGAGAAAACAAAGGGAGTTTCTCTTTTTGGGTTACAATTCTCATATGCAAATTTATAGTAGGACAGACCTGTAGACCAAAATTTTCCAGTCCATCTTACTCCTAAAGATGCAAGAGTTCCAAAAGCTGCTTTAGTAAAAAGGTTGACGAAAAGATTCAAAAGAATTGATCTGGTACAAAGCTTCTAGTTATATAGTGATACGTACTCATGTACCAATAAGGCAATAACATGCCTTAGTGAATAACGGTGACAACCCCTCTCAAACTTCCCTTCTCTCTACATTTTTTTGGGAAATAGAGCAAATGAAACTGCATCTAACCTGTTCAAACCATTAACTACCTACCCACCTTAAATAGCAAGGGTCAATAAAATAGGCAACAATCATTTAAATGGAAAAGAAAAACTAAAATATGGAGGAAGTACACGATTTATTAAATGGACTGAATGCAAATTTCACATTCTTGTTTGTCATAAATGTTGGTTCGACATGAACATACAGAATATACACAGAAACCAGTGATAGAGATGAAAGATATTTGCAACGTTACACGCTGCCCTTTTGCATCTCAGACTTCAACTTCGCCCATTGCAGCAGTTCACACCATTATCAGTGTCATGTTGCTTTGTGTTTACTCGATTATAGCCCCATATACGAATTGTACTATCATCACTCGCAGATGCCAGCATATGAGGATTTCTTGGGTTCCAGCTAACACAGTTCACCGTCCCTGAATGTCCAGCCAGTGTCCCAACAAGTTCACCTGAGCCTCTGTGCCATATATAAACCTAAAATATTGCAATAGACCGAGATCAGAATCTCTCAAGGATATAAGGCTTTATGGTATAGACTACCTTTCCCATACCCTACTTTGTGGAATTACACTGGGTATGTTGTTGTACTAGGATCAAAGTCTCTCTAGAAGATACAAGGTCAGCATCAATATCTGACAACATATTTCTGTGATTTGTGCCCAGTAATAGAGAGAAATGGGAAAAATCTTTTCACTATCAAAAATTTACTTCTCTATGGTACATTTAAATTTGAACCAACAAGTGATAGCACATAAACAATACAAATTACAACTAGTAATATTTTCCATCCCAAAAATACATTGAAGAGCACACCTAAAAAGATTGATATCCCTTCCGCTCCCCTCCAAACCTTTTCCTCAAAAATTAAGACTTGCCCCAAATAGGTATCTCTAAATACTCAAATGTGTTGTTTACACACTTCCTATTTCGTGATGTCCTATTTTACAGATTCAAATGAATATTATCCACAGCCATTATGAAGTACAACTCTACAAGTCAAAATGATATCTTAAATTTCCGTGGAGTATCACTTTCATAAACAAAGTTATTGCATATCCAAGTACTCATATATTAGCTATGATTTACAATTGGACTTATGAGCAGACTAAAAACTTGATTCCATGCACAGCATTTGGACATTTTGTGAGATACTATATCAGGAATATGCCATGAGATTCAGGATGTATTCTACACCAAAGCCGCCTACAAGCTTATCTAATTCCGCAAATCTTCTACAAATATAAAAGAATATATGACCACTACTGGCATAAATGCAGGCCATATAACATTCTGAGCTTTAAGGATCTCATTAATCTCATGAAAATATACTTGACGTGTTCATTATTCCTTAAGAAATTTCAGAAAACTTGAGTTTTCCTTCTTCGTTGCTAACTATTATAAATCTGTCTCACACTTCACATGGAAGTCATGTCCTGACAGCAGTAAAGAGCAGCATGGCATTGATGTAAACTCGTGATCATTGAGAGCAGTGGTTATCATAAAGGCAGCATGTGGGTCCAAATAGTATAAAACAATTCACTCAGGATAGAAGAAACTCAAAAATAAAATAAAATAAGTCAACAGATTAGCTGAGGCAATTATGAAATACTCAAACAATACATACAAATACAGAAGAAATAACTCTTTAGAGCATCATTCTACAAGAACCTTAGAAAAGGCAAAACAAACAACGTCACTTGCATGTACGAAGCATAAACATGAAATGTTATATGCTAAAAATGATAAACTTGTTAGCAGAACTTTTTGTGCAGGAAAACACAGTTTCCTGATTCAGGTAAATGAAAGATGCTTTTATGGTCAAAAGACAGACCATATGCAATATGCAACCCAATTTGAGGAATAGAATGTTAATTTATTCATGTGCTAATAAGCATAAAAGGCACCCCAACAAAAAAAAATCTGCAAATCAAATTGATTGTGCTTCTAGATCAACAAAAGAGGTAGTACCTGTGAGTCCTCGCTTCCACTTGCAATAAAAGCTTGATGTAGTCCTCCAAAGCAAGACCTCACAACGAACCGAGAACGTTTGTGCCCCTTATATTTGGCTACGAGTTTTACAGTTCCTTCTATATTCCAAAGATGAATTTCTTGGTTCGAAAGACTAACCAATACATACTTACTATCCATGGACAATACAAATGAGGTTATTGCTTGATCCTCCTGAATTACTCTCTCTACTTTTGATTCCCATCCAAATAATACTATCATATTTTCTTTACAAACAGAGACAACATGCTTCCCATCACTTGTTATCCCCAAGTCCGACATTCTAATAGTCCTGTGGCCTTTCCAACACTCAAGCTCTTTCCCTTCCAAATCCCACATGGTAATACTTTTGTCAGTTACACCACAGAATATCCTTTTTCCATCAGGAGCCCATCCGCATGAGATAAAACCAACGTTTTTTTTTCTCATAAATGTGTATACATTTACCAGACTCGACATCCCACCGTATGACAGTGTCCTCTTCACCACAAGTGAGAAGTTGATGGTCATCAGGACTCCATGATATATAGGAAACAGATGTCTTGTGACCCAAAAATTTGTGTTTCATGCAGACACTGCCATCCAATTTGACCTACAAAAAGCAGAAAATGAGGGATGAACTTACACTCCATCTATTATCATGATTAGTTCAAATCTTCATAATTAACAGCTCTCTTTTCTTTTGTTCCCAGCACTCCCTCCCCCCAATCCCACATAAACACAAACTTTTTCCATTTAATTTTTATCAAACATGAAATGCACCTGATATTAGGATCAAATTTGGAGAGTGGACCTTGCACATCATACTCCTCCAAAACATAATCAAGCACCAAAAGAAGAGGAAATGAACCAAATATTAATCATTTGATTAGCAAAAAGAAGCATTGTTCAGGTGTAAATACATTAAACTCTGATTTCCAACTTACAAAGCCAGTTGAATAAAGCACACCAAGACATCTGGAACTCTCTGACATTTCTTTTCTCGACAGTTTGTTCAAAATTCTTCATATGGTGAAGTATCATTAGCTATCAGCTTTCATGTTTTCTAAAGGCATGGAACTCTTCCATGTGTTTGTTTCTCTTAAAACTTAAAAAAGGAAGGATATCACTCTATGAAATGACTACCCCCCCCCCCATTTCATTTTATGGAAGGGTGATTGATTCAGCACGGAGTTTAAATATGTTAATCTAACTTATTTAATATATTATTGATAATGGAAGAGAATATTAAAGTGGAGGTGGAAAAAACAAGCAAACATCACATCAAAGTTGGAAGTGTAAGTAGTTCAATGAATCCTTAAAGTTATTGAAAGTTGTATAAAATAGAATGGTGTCAAACATTTTGCGACGCACCAAAATGGAAAGAGTGTCATATAAATTGGATTGGAAGGTGAAACTAAAATGGAACTAAAGCTAGAATATAAAATTTAACATTGATTTTGTATTCAACTGATTTTCCCATTCAAATTGAATGCTTAGTGCCAAGTATCAGTTAAAACATCACTGTCGTCTAGGTTAAAGAATCTAATGATAAATCCCAAATTAAGTTTTAGAAAACCTCCACTCAACCCAAAGGTTTGTTATTAATTCGATAAACCTCCAATGCAAAAAATGGCAGACAGGCAGCTTAGTAGTAACAAGGCTCTTATTTTTCATGTTATTTACTTTAGTAGCTTCTGCAAATCTGTCCACCAGATTTGTAATTTACTCATCCCTTTCATAGACATGCACATTAACGCTTAACATGCCATCCATAACTATTTGGCAACATGAATACCTTTAACCATTGTATATTCTCCATTTATTCCAGTTGTGATGGACTCTATTTCGTGGCTCCTTCCTAAATTTGGAGACTATTTAACTTAAAGTTTCCTCCTTATTTTGAGAAGGTAACTTACACTTCACACTTTACCTTTAATGACAAGCTTTTACAGCTACACAAATGTCATGGCACGTTTAAAACCACAAGTTTCAAAGGTCTTATAACCGCACAAATGTTACGGTGTAAATAAGACCACAAACTTTAGAAGTTTCTTCATTTCTAACTCCGTGCTCAGTCAAATAGGTTAAAACTATTGAAACTGAGAGAGTAATAACTTTGTTCTTAACAATGGAATAATAATGAGGCTACAAATTTAATTAGGATACATTGAACACCTCCCATGAAACTAACGCCTCGGGCCATATATAAAATAAACTTGTAACTGTTTTTTTTTTTGGGGAGGGCAAGTAAAAGAGGCATTAGGCATTATTGGTATAGTTCAAAGCTTTAGATGGAAAGTTGTGAAAGAAGTACAACCAAAAGTATAGTTACAGCTTTACCACCAAGAGTAAGGGTTATGGTGGGATGGATAGAATCCCTCCATCCTAAACCAGGAGTCTCGGGTTCGAGCCCTGGGTATGGCGTGGTAGGGAGCACTCCCCTCACCCCCAACCCCACCCAGGCCTTATGCGGCAAATCCGGATTAATCAGGACCCCAATGCGGGTAGCAGAAACAAGTAGGAATAAATAAGAAAGCATTAGTTATAACTTCGATATCATCTATTTTGTGTTGCACCAAAAGAAAGGAAAAGGAAAGCAAAATCATATCACTTTGATTACTCATTCTGTCTGGCTCTACAACAAGTACTCTCTTTTTTGCTTGATCCTAGAAAAGATCAAAATATTCAAATATTAAAAATTAAATAGTACAAGTCCATGCATGATAATAATTAATACAAACTCTCTTATTACACCATAATAACTTGGCAAAACACAAGGAAATATAATAATAATCACACTTATAACACAACAGAAACATTAACTGCTGCATAGTTGGTCACAATGTAAGGAAGTTCCAATTAGCTTTCAACATAACAGCATAAAAATTGGATCATACATCCAAGTCCTACTTGAATTTAACAGCAATACCAATCAGAAACCACAAATGCATCAGTGGTAGTCACTAGACTTTTTTTTTATATGGCAAGTATAATGTCACTGGACTTTTAACACTCGAACAATGGAAGACTACTTTTCTTCAGAGTGCAAAGTAGGATTCTTGATAAGTTCAATATTAATAAGCTGCTAATCATGTGGATCCGAAAATCAGAAGGATGAGGAGGCTTCACTGTTAGATGTAGACATGTAGAGTCGTCTCTGTGTCTGTCTAGGTTCGCATACAGATATGCATGTTGGACCCCCTAATTCCGAAATTCAGTGTATGGGTGGTTAACTCGGACCAATAGGGCCACAAACTATCTGATTACAGTCAATCCTAATACATCTCCTGTGGAAGTATCTACAACTAGCAATTATGGTGGTACTTTCTAATAATTACACCTCAATTTTAAACTAGTTGGAATATATTATATTTCTTTATTTTTTGTATCATGCTGTCCAGGAGAGCTTGTGTGCCTTGACTATTACACTGGGCATCCGCTACCTTCCACCAACATAGGTACTGGGTAACTCTACCCACCAAAGCTCAAGCAGATGGGAAAAAACTATTACATTGGGTGCCTGCTTACCCGCCAAGGCTCAAGCAGATGGGAAAAAATCACTTAGCAATTTTTGCCTCAAATTGAAACCTGAGACCTCATGGGAAGAAATCTTCTAGTTAGGCTATATGAATCCTTTATTTATTTTTATTTTTTTAATAATCATGGTGTCTTGGCCAGCTTGCACGCACCTCGACCTTGCCACCCCCCATCAGCAACAGGTACCAAGTAACTTTGTCCACCAAGACAAGAGTAGAAGGAAAGAAATCATCTAGTTTTTTTTGTGTCTGCTGGGATCTGAACCTCATGGTTCTCACCCCAATTCACTGACCACTTAGCCACACCATTGGGTGCTATATGAATCCTTTATATCCATTTAACTTCACTTGAGCCCATCTCATTCCGTTAATAATTTAAGGGTTCTCTGTAAAACTAGGAATTTATAAATCGCAAGCATATCCTTACATTTTTTAAACTGATATATAATCAAATTAAAAACATCCTCTTAAGCACCTGATCAAATGGAAATATGCCACAAAAAAAGGAATAAACCTTAATCTCAACCGGTTGATATCACTTCTAAAAATAATTTGCAATCACTGTATTCATTTTATATTACTATATGAGGTCGCGGAAACCACAGAAGTTTGAGCACCCATATGTGGCACTCCATGAGACTGTGAAGCATACAAGATACTGATCCTTCAAAGCAGAAGTAGAAGACCCTATGGAAGCAACTGTGACTAAGATGCAAAACGTGGAGGAAAAGAATTTCAATAAAAAGTAAAGTAGCAATTGATCTAAGTTGAAAAAAAACTACTGATATGACAACAAAATAAAGAGAACTTAAAATACCTCCCATACAATTACTGAAAAATCGGCAGATGACGAGGCCAAGTACTTTCCATTATGGGAAAACTCCAAGAACCAGACTTCCTTTTTGTGCTCACGTAATATCTGGTGCAGTAGAAGCAATGAAGAAACAATTAGCGCTTAAGGTGATTAACATATCGTATCTGCAAGAAATCAGACTCCACTATCAACGATTGCTCTAAAACGACTTATTACACAAAAAACAGCTCGGTGGTAAATGATAACAAGCAGAAAGCCAGTGAAGCTCAATTTTATCAAAGCACATTTACAACTCCTTGGCCCTTTAACCAACCCCTCCACCCCACCCCAAGGCCAATTCCTTCTGATTTCACTTAAATCACAGTGGATCCAACCACATCTCCTGGTTAAAATTTAAACATCCCAAATATAAGGTCAATTTCCAAATGGCATAAATAACATGAACAATAAACAAAAGTTACACCCCAGTCCCGAACAAAGCCAAAAATTAGAGGAAAAAAAGAGCATACTTGTTTACTCAAAAAACATATAATGACAAGAGAAAGGGAGACCCATTTCACAGTAGAACAAAAAAATGAGATGTTGTGCCTACAACTACTGACTTTTTCTTTGATTCAAAAGTTCGGCAACAATCCATGAAACATTTCATATTGTTGCGACTAAAGCCTCATGAAAGGGTGGACACAAGTTCACTAAGGACCTGAAGATCACAAAGCTCCCCAGAAACAAATAGTGCTTACCTATTAACTCCAGCATCTTAAGACATAAAAATAACATTGGATTTATTTTTTTCTGATTAGTAAATAAAAACTGCATTCATTAGCAAGCTCATTATGATAGGACAGCATGCATTCCCCGTATTAATTTGCTCATGGACCGAGGCTGCAATGAATATGCTTTTAGTTAGAGTTCCATTGTCAATAACTACTCAAAAGAAGCTGGCATTTTGGAGATCCACAGCATTGAAAGCTGGAGTTCAATTCTCTGTTCTTCATTTGTTATTTTGCTGAACAAAGCATTACATAAGCTTCTAGTCTTCTAGAGAGTTTATTTATGTACTTGTAATATATAGATACATTGAAGCAATTTGCATAGTTTCTTTTTCTGTTGAAGGCACTAACTTGTTGCATTATTAATAAGAATTTCTTTTTGAAAGGGAGCATAATGGTAAGAATTGTTTGGGTGAGACCAGGAGATTAATGAGAGCAACTTTTGGGCCCCATATCAATTGGAGGAAAAGTCATATTTTTCCAATTAATGATGTGAACAGAATGTAACATCTGACAGAGATCTTGGGAGGAGAAATAGGTCAACTACCAACAATATATTTGGGGATGCCTGTGGGAGACAAAAGCAAATCCGGAGAGATTTTGAATGGGGTGGTGAAGAGATGTGAAAGAAGACTATCTAAATGGAAAGCATAATATTTGTCTGAGGTGGAAGATTGGTCCTAATCAACTCAGCCTTAGATGTTCTACCAACATACTTGATGTCAGTTTTTCCTCTCCCAACTAGGGTAGAAGAAAGAATTGATGCTTTAAGGAGGAACTTTTTGTGGAATGGAAAGAAGGAGAACAAAGGATTTCATTTGGTCAAATGGAAGATTGTAGTTCTTTCAAAGAAACTAGATGGGTTAGGCATTCTGTTACCTTTGTCAAAAAAAAAAAAGATGGGTTAGGCATTAGAAACTTGAGGAAATAGAACAGAAGCTTAATAATTAAGTGGTTGGGGAGATTTCCGAAAGAGGAGCAGGCTCTATGGTCAGAGTGATTCAGGCCAAGTATGAGAAGATAGACTACTAGAAAGCTAAGGAAGTGGTGTCTGCCTATGGTATGAGCCTGTGGGGATCAGTCAGAATTTGTGGCAAAGTTTCTTTTTTTTTTTTTTTGATAAAGGTAATGTTGTATTCATCAGCATTAAGGATATGCTGGAGACCTCCAAAAATTGGTTTCCAACAAGAGAAAAAACAAAACAGGCTAATAGATTACAAAGTGCCTATAAAATCCAAAATTTGTGCAGTTTCTTCTATAAGGTAATGTTGTATTCATCAGAAAATTTGTGGCAAAGTTTCTTTGGAAGAACTAGATACAATCATCATCATATCATCATCATATATATATATATATATAAACACTTACACATTAAATATTTGAAGGTTATGAATATGAAAGACATGGAAGTTATGAATATGAAATAGGAGTTTGTTTTATCTTTTGTTCTTTCATCTTCTACAATGGTAAAGATACTGTTGCTGTCTTTTTATATTCCTTAGTTCACACACATATCAATTTGTTTCCTTTGTATCACATGTCTCTTTCTTTAATTTTTTCCACTTGCCATACTACCATCAGCAATATCATAGGTTAACTTTTTAACTTACCTTCATCTTTTTATTTTTTTATACTATTGTTGTGTATCTTCATTATTTACTGATGTCTCTAACTCATATATATTTTATGAATTGTTTTGTGTATGGATTAATGTGTACTGGTTAGCTTTCTGCTTTAACAATAATAATAATAATAAGGGACAAACGTGCAATGCACGTTCCCAAAGACTAGTGTAAACAATGGAAGGAAGATTTTGTTTTGGGATGATACCTGGTTAGGAAATGGCAGCCTCAAGCAGTTTTTTTCAGACATTTATCTGTTGAATCAGAAACAACAGGCCCCTTTGAAGAAGTTTGGTCCACCCATGGATGAAACTTAACATAGAGAAGGATGGTGCAAGAATGGGATGTGGATAGACTAGCTAAATTTTGTGGCACCCTAGACCAATTTGGACTTTTTTGGAGGATTGAAAGAGGAGAACACACTCTCAGGGGGATTCATCATAGCAAAGGTATTTTCACAGTTAGCTCTGCCTACAAGAATTTGAACCAGATAAGGACTCAACTCAAATTTTTGCCTTGGAAACAAGGGCGTATCTAGAGGGGGTGCCGTGGGTTCACGTGAACCCATGCTCCCCTAGTGTTATATTTTTAAAAAAATATTTAAATATAAATGTGTGAATCCACGTTCAAAGTATCATATAATAAGACGATGATGATTGGTGCACCTCTCTAAGTGAGTATATAAATTTAAATCTTATATCTATCATATCTTTTTGAGTAACACCTCTCCAAGTGGTTATTGGTGACACTTTTGGCGTTTCAACTATTTTTTTTTGGTTTTTTCCTTTAATCTTTCAAAATTTTCAAGTGTGTTACATTGAAAATTGCTAAAAATTTTAGCACTGTAAAATTTTTATATAATTAAATCAAATGTGTAATTAAAATTTAAAACTAGTAGTGTTATATATTTTTACCTATAATTTTTAAAATTTAATGGTTCATATTAAGAATCTAAAAGTCAAACCAATCAAATTTATATTTAAGATACATTTTTTTGTAATCGTGCACCCATTTTGTCGAAATTCTGGATATGTCTCTGCTCGGAAGCTTATCTAGAAAGTCAAAATTCCATATAAGGTGGCAAAAGAGACAACACTGACTCAGGAGAATCTCAAGAAGAGGGGAATACATATGTGCCCAAGATGGTTTTTTTTTGTGAGCAGCAGAGACAATCAACCATTTGTTTCTTCACTGTAGGGTGGTTAGACAACTTTGGAACCTGCTTACCAGCTTTAGGGGCATAAGTTGGACCATGCCCTAAGGGCAAGTCAAGTTATAGAAAGTTTTATAATAATAAAGGTAGTGGCGGTGCAGACAAAAAGCAGATGGAGAATTGTCCCTATTAGAATAGTAATATGTATATACAATCCTACTTAGAATAGGAATAGTAATAGTATATAGTGTCCTACCTAGAAAAGAATTGTATTGTAGTATCCTAATTGGAAAAGGTGTCGATTGTAGTGTCTATAAATAGGGTCTCTCTGTAATAATGTAGAGACAACAATTCAATAATATTCTTCTCCAATATTTCTCACATGGTATTAGAGCCTCTACGATCTTGGTAGAGAATCAAAGAGCTTCCGCTGCCGTCAGTCGGCTATTACCCATATATGCCGCCCGTCTGGCCAATGATTGTGTTAACAAAAGTTGGACCAACGATATATGCATGAATCCCATATTCAAGGGAAGAAAACTCAGTCAGACAGGTCACCGTGCGTCAATTTCCGATGACTTTCTAGGGTTGTTTTGTGTCAACCCCATATCCATTGGTATTTGTGTTAGCACCGTGCCATCTTTTCGGTGACTACTTTCTCATATTTTATTCATGTAGCACTGTGCCATCTTTTCGTGACTACTTTCTCATATCTAATTTGTGTAGCACCGTGTCATCTTTCCGGTGACTATTTTTTCATATTTAATTTGTGTAGCACCTTGTCATCCTTCTGGTGACTATTGTTTGCATATCTGATTTGCGTAGCACCATACATCTCTCTGGACTACTTTTCATATTCAATTTGCGTAGTACCGTGAATTTTTCCGAACTACTTTATCATATTTGAGTTGCATAGCACCTGTGTCTTTTCGGTGACTCCTCAGATTTGATTTGCGTAGTTACATGCGTCTTTATGGTGACTTCTCAAATCTGATTTGCGTAGGGTTGTGCCATCATTCCGACCCTACCCATATAATTTCTCTTTTTCAATAGGAACATGCCATCATTCCGACCTACTCACTATTTATATACTTTATACTAGATTTTGAGCACTTTCAGACGACCGCTACATTGTTAAGAAGTTTATATGGAGCAACCACCTAATTTTGTTGCTAGGGGGGTTTAGTAGCCTTGTATGTCGATTACGTAAGTCACCCTATGGTCTGAAACAGACTTCTCAAGCTTGGTTTGGGAAGTTCAACACTGTAATTTTATCACTCTATGATTTATCAACACTATGCATCAAATTCAGTATTTCATAGGAAGACCAAGCACATTGAGATTGACTGCATTATGCATCAAATCCAATATTTCATGAGAAGAAAAGCACATTGAGATTGACTGTCAATTTTGTGAAGTCGAGTGATCAACTTGCAGATATCTCACCAAGCCACTCATCGATCCTCGTATTAATTATATTTGCAACAAGCTAGATACATATGATTTGTATGCACTAACTTGAAGGGGAGTGTTAGAATAGTAATAGGTATATACAATCCTACTTAGGATAGGAATAAGAATAGGAATAGGGATAGTAATAGTAATAGTATATAGTGTCCTACTTAGAAAAGGATTGTATTTTAGTGTCCTAGTTGGAAAAGGTGTATTGTAGTGTCTATAACTAGGGCATCTCTATAATAATTTAGAGACAACAATTCAATAATATTTCTCTTATATTTCTCACAATCCCAACGGTGATTTGGTGGACCATATGGAAGGAGAGAAATTTGAGATGTTTTGAGAGCATTAGCAGTCATTTACACAAGATAAAAATGAGTTGCCTTATCACTTTTTGCTATTGGTGTAGTCCGAGTATGTAAATGATCATGTAGCTATTACAGATATTCTAGGATCTTTGTAAGATGAAGTAGGATCTAGTGTTTTTTAGATTTGTTGAGTCTACTCAACTGTTGTAGCTCTATGGTGTAAATTTGGGATCCCAGTCTTAAGTGCTGAAGATTTATATACAAACTTGTTACCTTTGTCAAAAAAAAAGTGTGGGCTTTAATGAAAAAAGGCGCAAAGGGAGAAAAAATACAAATATATATTTTCAATCCAAGACTAAAAAATATAAGCATAAATGGCATACATGAAGAAGAAATTGAAAAAATATTATGATACAGTGAAATATCAATTGTTTAATGTCACCTTTCAGAAGAGGCTCATTGGCAAGTAAAAGTATGTCTTAAAATCATGATGACGACAACGAAGTGCATATTAAGTAAGGCGAAGCGCACAACACATTTTGAGCCACGCTTCAGAGCTTAAGTGCGCCTTTAACAACATTGTGTAAGATAAGCCCTGTTTATTTTAATCACAACTTTAAAAATCAAAACAAGCCTTTCTTTAATGACCGCGGTGTCCGGACCAGTTTTTGCGCACCTTGACTAATTCCACTGGATACCTACCACCTCCACCAACAACAGGTACCAGCTAACACTATCAACCAAGGCTAAGACAGATGAGAAGAATCACCTAATTTTTTTTTTGTCTCCACTCATTGACCACTAGGCCACACCCTTGGGTGCAAATCTAAACAAGCCTTTCAAATGAACATAAGCAAATTGGCAAAACCTTCAACCATAAAGAGTTGAATGAAACAAAGCATGAATTTAATGAATGTTTTTCATCCTAATGCGAACATTTGTCATTCAAACAATGACATAAAATAGAAGAGGTGACGCTTTTAACAACAATGACAATGTTTAGAACGCAAAGGAACAAAACTTGATCAATATTTCCCATCATATTCATTCAACACCACTAACTATTGACTCAGATAATGATAGGACAAACTAGTGCATGATTACAAGACGAAACAACTAGTGCATGATTGCAAGACGAAACATGGAAAGAGTTTACTTTGTGTCTCACACAACTGACACAAGTTGTGTGAGGATTCTTTTTGTTTCACAAATTTGTGGACCAAAATTGTAAGACTAGGGTCCAGTAATTTGTAAATCAAAGCCTCACACAACTTGTGTCTGTTGTGTGAGGCACAAAATGAAGTTTCTATTGAACATGTCAGACTCAAACAATCAAGAGCAGAATCAAAAGGCTTGTATATCAAAAAACACCCAATTATTAATGTGATCTAACCTGCACTGTTAGAGATGGAATATGATCTATTCCACAGTGATGATCAGTGAGCAGTGACATTTCACCTACCACAGAGTTGTGAAATCTACAAGCATCTAGTTGCAAGTCAAGAGCCTGTTCAACAAGATGTACCAATCTCTTTTCTGGAACCATAACTGTTGGGGGAAGCAATCTTTGCAATTCCTCTAGTAGCTTTCTACGTGACTTTACTCTCACTATGCCTTGATCTGATATCCCAGGAAGAACCTGCTGAGAAGGTGATATAATGAAAAAGGAAAGCTGATGGACTCTATCATTGTTTATGCAAAGAGGTGAGATCTCGCCCCTCAGTGTCTTCAGAGCATCCATGACTTTTTCCTTGTGCAACAATTCAAAAAACTTCTGCTCCAATATCACAAACGATGCCAACTTTACAATTTTTTCATCCACCAGACCAATCTTTCGCAATGTGTTTAAACTTTCATCCCATTTACCATCAAGAATTTGCTGCATAAACAAATTTATGACAGAAGTGTGCAAGGGTATCCCTGACTCTTCCTCTAGAAGGGCTCGAGTCTTTTTGTAACCAAGAGAATCTAATGCCTCAGTTATAATCCGAACAAATTCAACTTTCTTGACAACTCCTTTTGTACCAACAACCTCATCGTCCCCTTGAAGAGTCAGGGGTCGAGCCATCGAGTCACCCAATGAACAACTTGCAGGATCTCTAACAAATGTCCCGTCTGAAATATCTACCAATTGACCGGAGGATACCTTCACACGTTTTGATGGTGGTTCATCATCGTCCTCAGCTCCCATGAAACAAACACCTCAGCCCATATATAACAGCAGGAGGAAGACAACTGAAAAGTTGGAATTGTAGGCCTAGATCCTGCAATTAATAAAAGGAGACTCTCCTATGTAACACCAGAAAAGGAAATAAAATAAAACTAATAAAAATAGAAACAGAAAAAAGAGAAAGATGGCAATCCGCAGAATCCACTTTCAATGATCTTAGATTAGAAATTGAAAATGATAGTAATGAGACAAGGAGCAAAACAGAGAGTTGAAGGAAAAAACTGCAACTAACAAAAGTAAACGCTAATCTTTTTTATACGTTATCATTTTATTGATGAAAATTGTCCAGCATTGAGAAAGAGCAGCGGCTGATACTAATATTGCATGCGAACGTACCCAATAAAATATATGAAAGTAAAATTGCTTGGACAGATTCGCAACAAATACAGCTGCCAGTTCCAAACAGGCAAGAGCTTCTAACCATCACCTATCAACACCTTAGACAGAATATTTAGAATTACCAGATTAAATGCCATCATGAGGTGCAACCAGTAATATTGCACCTGATGCCAGACACCAATAACTGCTTATGCTACAAATTGGTTTTGCTTGCTTAAGTTGAAACTCTATACATAAAGGGCTCCACCAAAACTTCCTTTTTAACAATTATTCGAGAGAGAGGAGAGGTAGGAAGGGTCAGCCTGAATTAAAAGCTTAATGAACATACGACCTAAATAGACATCATGAATTTATACTACTATTTATCCAACCATTGAACAGCCTGCCTAGTACATTGCTCCCACTAAGTCCACATTAACATCAAAGGCAGTGTTTTGGGAAGCGAGAAGCGGAAAAAAGTGACAAGGGCTCGCTTCACAAAAGCGAGAAGCGAAGCGCACGCTTTTTTTGAATAAAGCGATATTTAGTATAAAAATAAAAAAATATTAAATAACTGAATAGAGGTAATATATTCTTAGATTAAAAGTAAATAGATAGTCAATAATACTCATAAGTCATAACATATAAAGCAAAAAATCAAAAACATAATTAAATCACAAAGAATCAAACTCCTATTCTTCAACAAGAGCAGCAAAAGAATTGAAAAAAACAGAGCAGTAATATTAATTGAAAAAAAAAAAAAAGGTCAGTAATAGAGATTGAAAACAGAGCAGCAAACAGAATTGGAAAAGAAAAAATGCAGCAATAAAAATATAGAAAAACACCCAGCAGCAACCAAAAAAAAAAAAAAAGTAGCAGATCGCAGCAGCTTCGCAGAGAAGAAGAGAAGAAGAAGAGAACTTACAGGCTACAGCAGTCGCAACGAAGAAGAGAAAAAGTCGCAGCTTCTTAGTCGCGTAAGTATCTTTCAGAAATTAAAAAAAAAAAACTTACATTTTTTTTTAAAAAAAACCCTAATTGGCGCTTTTTATGAAAAAGCGCGCTTTATCGCGCTTTCGCTTTTCTTGCGCTTCTCGCTTCTACAGTAGAAGCGAGCGCCTTTTCAATGTCGCCTCGCTTCAGGAACTAAAAGCGCAGGAGCCTCGCCTCGCCTTGCGCTTTAAGCGCGCTTTTTACAACACTGATCAAAGGAGCATTAGCTACCGTTTTCTTTGAATAACCTATTCGGTCTTCTCAATACCAGCCTCCTGATCAAACAGCATTACCAGCTAATAATGATCCTCCCCAAAATAAGACAACTAATGCAAACAGAGAAGTTTCAATTCCTGCCAGAAGGAGATTACACAAAATACAAATGTTTTTACCAGTGTGCACGCTAACACGCAAGTTCTCCATTAATCAACACTCAAGCTACGCAATTACTGTAAATGAATCCATAAATTAAACTCTAAGATATGTCTGATCTTTGATATTTGAAATTCAATAGAAAAGAAAACACATCTTACATATGTTACCACTATTGACTTTATAGCTCTATCCAAAATAGCTTGGCCACTAATGAGAAGAGTCTAATCCTCTTACTCATATGTGAATATGACTTAAGGCCATAAATTGGGCCACAATAAAGCTGGAGCAATCAACAGAATTTCACTCATTAGTTGCAAACATTTGCAAGATCTAACTACACAAGGTAATCATACTTTTCCAAATAACAAACAAGGTTTACCCTATTTCTCTACAGGATTATGGATCGGTCATATCAGGATCCTGGAAACAAAGTTAATTACTCCCCTAGCAAAATATGATGTAGCATGAACCCACTGAGCCCCCTCAAACCTGCTATGATCAAGAATGATAGTAGGATACACCTATAGCACATGAGTCTTAAGTCTCTTAAACTTGCTATGATCAAAGATGAACTAATAAAGGAGAATTTCACTCCAATGCAATCACATTTACAGCAAATCTAAATTAGACCTCTCACCAACAGCACAAACTAGGGATCTTGATGAAAAGATCCGATCGGTACTAAAAGCATCCAATAACAAACTTAAAAGTTAGTAGATGCATCTGCTGTTAAGTAAACTTCTGCAAAAGCTAATTCAACTCAAAATGCATTTGCTGTCTACCTAGCACTAAAGTTCCAAATAGGCTAACTTTAACTTCTGCAAACAATACTCTTCTTAGTTAAATAAGCATATACTACAATTACCACCCAAAACCCAACTAGAAAAAATCAAATTTTAGATAATCCACTAACACCACTCAACAAATCCAACAAACAAAATCAAGAACAAGAATCAAACCAAACCAAGAAAACATTTCCGTAAAAGACAAGCAAAGAAAGATTACCAGAAAAACAACAAAGATTAGAGCAGAATCTGCAATACCCAGAAAGCAATTTGAAGATTCAGATCAAAATGGATACATAAACTGATTGAAAAACCAGCAAATCGTAAATGGTTTTATCCCAAATTGTATTCTTTATTCCCTTCGTTTGTCGGTAAGCTAAGACTAGTAGATTAGGTGGGTAAACAAACACTCGATTGAAAGGGGAAAAAAAGGGTATTACAAGAAAGCTAAAAAAAGGTATATGATTGATTTGTGGGAGTAAGAATCTTGTAGAGAGATTTGGGTATTTGTGTTAATGGAGAATTTGTGAATAGAGAAATGGAGGAAAGAGTTGTTTGGCATTTTACTCAACAAGGGTCCCCTTCGTAAAGGAGTATTATACTAATCTTTTTTGCGTGGATTGGAGAACCACCTCTCAAAGCTTCTAGGTGGCTTATTGTAGGTGTTAAATTGTTGAGTCTGATATGTACACAAATCTTATTTAGAAATCAGAGTTTATTTTTTATAGATTTTTTATTTAGTATATTAAAAGCTAACTTTGTAGAGAAAATATAATAGCGAAGGATGTTATACTAAAAAAATTATGGAGAATGAGATAGTTATAAACAACAAACAAGCTGATTAGTGAAAAAAAGAAAACATACGTGATATTAGATTCGAAGAATAAATTAGTAGAAGAATAATAATAACATTATTAATTAAGAAACTAGACAACACTTAATTACTTACTAACTTTTGAGTTTCATAATTTTTTATTTAGAATCATGTTTTCGATAAACAATAAATATGCTATTATAACACAATATACAACAAGCTTTCTTGACGGGTAAATTAAATTGTAATATTAATGGAAAGATTACATATACCATATTATGCTCAAGTATTACAGATTTACAAAGGTGTTAGTTTATCATGTATTAAAGTGTTGAAGCTTCTCTTAAACTTAAATTGTAATATTAATTAATGGAAAGATTTCATATACCATAACATGCTTAAGTATTATAGATTTACAAAGGTGTTAGTTTATCATGTATTAAAGCGTTGAAGCTTCTCTTTTTGAATTGATGAATTCAAATTCAAATGTTTTACCACGCTTCAAGTATTACATATTGACAAATGTATTTTACTTCATAAACAGAATTATTGAATTAAATTTAAAAGTGATGATTATTAAAGTGGTAATCATTAAAAATATGTTTTTACTTTATGAATGAGTTATTGATTTAAATTTTAAAACATGATTTAAGGACTTTAAACACAAAGAAAAGAAACATTGAATTAATATACCTATATTAATAAGAACACGATTAAAGAATGATTAAATTAATTATGTCATAATTGATATTGTTTGGGCTTGTATTGACACCTTGCTACTCGAAAGGGAGAGTAGTCTTTGAGAGTTGAATTAATGATTTTGATAAATTGCTATTGAAATGGCCTTCCTATTAGGGTTGCTATTTCGAAGGAAGAATAGTCTTTGAATGTAGTTGCCTAAATGAATTGATTTTGGAGTCGTTGATTTGCCTTAAAGTTTGACATGATGAATTTTGATTTGCTCATGAGTTATTATGATTGATTTAATTTGCTAGTAAGTTTTGATGTTTTGATTGTTTGCCTTGAGATTATCCATGTTAATGGAATGATTGATTTAACTTGCAGTTTCTAAGTGTTTGACACAGTTATTAAACATAATGACTGAAATCAATTATTTTATTGGTACTTATTTAAGTTTTATTGATTTCACCACCATATTTGAAAATTTAATTATTTCATTATAAATAACTTATTCTATGTATTATTATTATTATTATTTTATTTTGTTACTTCTGCCCTAAAACACTCATTAAATATTCAGTACTCAAACATATCATTATTAATTTTACGGAAAAGGGTCAAAATTGCTCCCGAACTATATGAAATAGACCATTTATACCCTTCGTTACATTTTGGGATAAAAAATGTCTCTGCTGTTATCCTAAGAGACCACAAATACCCTCAAAAGTGAACACCATAAATTTTTGTTACCACGTGGGACTAATCCTTCCACCTAAGCGTTGCCAACTAGGATTCACTACAAAAGAACTAGACCTTTAGCGGCAACAACAGTCGCCACAAAAGCCCAGAAAATCGTCACTAAAAGTTTTTAACATTAAATTCTAATTTTGTGTTTTTTTATTCATTGTTTTTAAAAAACCAAATATGATATCGATTAAGTAGGAGTTTGAAGACACTATATGTTTTATTTTTATGTCATATGTAAATGTATAAAATGTACAATGATGCATTATATATATATAGTAGGAGATTTGAATCGAGAAGTAATTTTGATTATTTTTCGTAATAATATTGGATGTTTTTAATATGATATTGCAAGTTATTTATTTTAGAAAATTAGGTCGCAATCGAAAATTAATTATCATATTTTTTTGTTGAAAAAATAGGTTTTACTAGCGAATGGTTATTGGAGCCTTAGTTGCCACTAAAAATCACTCATAACCTTTAGTGGCAATATTTTGGGATTTTGTGGTGACTTTGTCGCCACTAAAAGTCAAGTTCTTTTGTAGTGAATCTTAGTTGGCAATGCTTAGGTGGAGGGATTAGTCTCATGTGGCTTGCCACGTCACTAAAAAATTGGGGTGTTAACTCTTGAGGGTATTTGTGGTCTCCTGGGATAACTGCGGGGGTATTTTTGATCCCAAAATGTAATGGAGGGTATAAGTGGTCTATTTCACATAGTTCAGGGGCAATTTAGACCCTTTTTCGTTAATTTTATGATATGCTAGGTAACGAAGAATAGCAGGTAGGTATAGACAGATCTTGTGAAATAAGAGTACTTGTTGCTTTTCTTGGTGAATCTACTTTCTTATTCGAGGGACTTCAATAAATTCTTTACTGTTTTATTAGACTTTTAAACTGCGTCTCGAGTTAGTTTTTTTTTATTTTAATAAAGACTCCATAGATTGATATGGTGTCATGGATACTACATAAAGTCATTATTTGATTTATTAGGAAATATTGTTATGTTAATTGTTAGATAATTAATAACATCGTTTATATTATTCTTTCTTTTTATAA